CCTCCTTCCTCCTCCGATACAACTTTAATAGCTACAATGCATTTTCTTGTCCTATTACTGTCTTCAGGGCTGATCTTACTCCTCTCTATCCCTTTTACGCGACTCGATCCTTTCCTTCCTGACTACTTTACTACCCCTCCTCTCCTCCCCCCCTTTTCCCCCTTCCCCCGAGGGGGCGGGGGCGCGGGCTCGGAGGGTGACCCTCAGGCCACAGGCCCCAAGTCGGGGGTGGGAGGTTTTTTCCTTTAAGGCCCACGTTTTCTTTGGGAGCTTCCGAGTCTGAAACACAAGCGGGTTCGCATCTCGTTCAGGCGGTAGGCGCTCTCCCTCTTCGCCTGGAATCCCAGGAGGAGTGGGTGTGGGTGGATAACTGTTGGGATAACGACACTGAAGGACATATTATAACAAAAGCCGTTTTCAAAGACGCGTAACACCTGCTTGTGCAGTTGAATCCAAGGAGACTGCGCGCGACTTCACAAGAAACTAGTTTAATTTTGTTTTCCTCCCGACTGGATAGGCTTAGTTCTTAAGCAGGGTTAGTTCTTAAAACCACAGTCAGGGGCTGTAGGAGAAGCCAGTTCTCCCCGCCTGGGCCATTTTCTTCACAGAAGGTCTAGACTTATCCATAAGACATCATTTTATAAGTGCCGGCATTTCAGTAGAGGTTGGCAAAAACATCAGCCAGTCACCATTTCCCAAATTCCTCAACTTTTAGCTATACTGTTTATTCAGCAACCTTTACCATTTATAGAAGACTCTAGGCTGGGAGGACAGGGAGGAACGGGATTATGTTCCCCTGAGCACAAGTGAATTATGTGGGGAAGAAACTGCCAGAGGTGAGGCTCACTGTCCCTTTACAGCTGAGAAAGACGTCTTCTCAGTGTCACCTCTTGGGGCCCCAGGAAATAATTATTTCATATCCCGACCAGCTGGGAGCCCTAAAACAGTGAAAAACATCCAATAGCAAATGGGATAACATTTTCTTTTTAACTCTCCCAATTTTTTCCTTTCTCCCCCTTTCCATTTTTCCCAACAATTTAACATCTCACATCCAAAACAACAACAATAATATGAAAGATGAAGCCCTAGAGATGAAAAACAAGGGGCCTGGACAGAAAAAGAGAATTAAAACCCCTGTAGCCACTCAGAACTAAGGAAGAAGAAACCGGAAGGGCTCCAGAAAACATAACATCAAAAAGTCTCTCCTCCGAGGCTCTCGCTTTTTGCTTTTTCCTGGCTTTTCCCACCCACCCTCCCATCTAAACCTAAACCTGCCAACGGAATGGAAACAACCAATCAAACAAACCCAGACCGCGCAGGAAAAAAAATGAACCACCAATTCCAAAGTTTGGTTGTGGGACTTGCCAACGGTACCCACTCCTGTTTGGGGGCTCCCGGATTCTTTCTTGCTGCCCCCATCACCGTTTGGTAGCCAGCAGGAAAAGACCATTTCAGGTTAAAATTCCTCCCAGAAGGACAGACAGCAGCCTGGGAAACAAGCCGGCTTCAGCGCCACTGTCCTCTCAGCATTGCCTCCTTGTCTATTTATTTTTACTGAGAAAAAGCACCGATCTACATTCTAAACGCTGCCCAGCTCACAGAGCCACCACCCCCTCCCTCACCACACACCCCGTCTGTGGCTAAGCAGCCCCCTGGAGGAACCAGAAGTCATTCGGGTCCCTTTTAGGGGTCAGTTCCACAGAGCACAATTAGTGACTGTGTAGCCATGGACTCCAGGCAAGAGAAAGACGGAAGGCTCTGTTGAGAGGGAATACGGTATGAAACCCTACTGAGGGTGGAGGCCAAAAGTGTCTCCCGACTGCCCATTGAAACACTTTAAGTCTATTTAGAAGCATAGCCTCAGACTTTTCCTTTAAAAAAGCCTTTTTTTTGAGATATAATTGACGTCTGACATTGTGCGAAAGCATTTCCGTGTGGTTTTCTTCTTCCGCTTCCTCCACGTCCCAGCCCTGACGCACTGGTTAGTCCGAGGCTGAGGGAGTTTGCGTTTTTCAATGGTCAGAAAATAAGAAAATTCCCAAGGCTCCCTCTTAATTTCCTGTGAAGACATTATGTGAATGAGCCTCTGAAAATATTCTTAGAGGATAAGATTTTCCCCATAGCAGGGGTCTCTTGCTTTCAATTTGAAAATATAGGGATAAGATAAATAATTGGATGATTTTTAATTTAAAACGTTCCTAGGAGTTGGATTGTTATTGTAAAAGAAGAAAAGGTAAAAATGCTCTATTTGCTGCCCTAAGTCAAGGAGAAATACAGACAAAACATTTTATACGACGCGTATACGATGTACATACCTGCATTTAGAACTGGTTTCAGTTCCTTGGGGGCACTTAGAATAGAGTTGTTTGGCGGTCAGTTTCACATCGCAGATTCAAGTAGTTTCTCTTTTTTTAAGGGATGCAAGATAATTGGGATAATTACAAAAGTCCCCCTGTATTCCATCAAAGTGACTGGTGGAGTCCCAGGCCCTTATCAGCTGTGGGGGGAAATGTTTGGTTCCTGGTAGTGGTATTCCCGCCTCCTGGTGGATGGCAAAGCCTCCTTCCTACTTTAATATGCCTGCTAGCCTGGGTTTCGGGTTGGTTTCCTCAATTCTAACACCTTTTTTTGTCCAGAAATGGCCCAGAGCGCACACTGCTGTGATTTAACCAGCGAAATGCTAGCCTTTCATAAGATCTCAGGCTGGGAGGGACATCGTGCAAATGCTCTCATCCAGTGGTTCTCAACCTTCTGGCCCTTTAAATACAGTTCCTCATGTTGTGACCCAACCATAAAATTATTTTCGTTGCTACTTCATAACTGTAATGTTGCTACTGTTATGAATCGTCATGTAAACATCTGATAGGCAGGATGGTCTTAGGTGACCCCTGTGAAAGGGTCGTTCGACCGCCAAAGGGTTCGCGACCCACAGGTTGAGAACCACTGCTCTAATCTAACATGCTGAGGCCTATAAATGATCCAGGCAGAGAAGTGAAATGACTTGATTTTTTATTTTTTACCGCCTCTCCACTCCCACCCACGTTTCCTTCTTCTGTGGAGAGGGGGCTTTGAGAGGAAGGGGCTCATCTCTTCACTCCCTGGCTCTCCCTGGACAGAAGTCTCTCTCGGTTGTCCGAGGGGCAGCCCTGGCACCAGCTCCCACAGGCTGTGAAGTCTAGGACTTGGGAGGGATGCAAACAGGAGCCCTTGCTTGTTATCCACCGTGGTCACCCCTTTCCGGCCCTCACATGTCTCTTCTCCGGTGTGAGCTCAGGTCGTGGTGGTAACAGCCATGCCTCTGGCACTCACTCACTTGGTCCAGTAAGCGAGCAGCGGGCGCGCCACTCCACGGAGCCGCATGCTTGGTTTATATCAGGTGGGTTCTCAGCGGACTTCCTGGAGTTTCTGAGTTTAACTTTTCCAAGGTCAAATCTGAGTCTCTATTTCAGTTGTGCGGCTCTCCTTCCTGCATCTTTGCTCACAGCATTAGCTGTCACGGTCCATTCTCTTGCAGAACAATTTGTGGAGAAGTCATCCTGCGCCCAGCCCCTGGGCGAACTCACCAGCCTGGATGCTCACGGGGAGTTTGGCGGCAGCGGAGGCGGTGGCGGCAGCCCCGCGTCCTCCTCGCTGTGCACCGAGCCTCTGATCCCCACCACCCCCATCATCCCCAGCGAGGAAATGGCTAAAATCGCCTGCAGCCTGGAGACCAAGGAGCTCTGGGACAAATTCCACGAGCTGGGCACAGAGATGATCATCACCAAGTCTGGCAGGTAGGGGGCCTTGGCGGGGAGGAGCGGGTGGGGGAGTGCTCCCTGGCCGGCTTGGGGGCGTTTCCAGGAGCTGGGTGAATCCCTGAGGGTTGGGTTCGGAGCATAGAGAGGAAGCTGCTTCGCTCAGGGAGGGCTTCTTCCCGCAGGCTTACTGTGGGAAGTGCTGCTCAGAGACTCCCCAGGCTTTTGCTTTCTCAAGATCTGGCCGTGGGAAACCGCACCTCGGTCTTGATGAGAAGGGCACAGGGGCCAGGAATGTCTGCCCCCCGCAGCCCGGGAGGGTTTGGGGTGCAGGCTCGGCATCTGGAGGGAGTCCAGGGTGCAGGGGGGTGGCTGAGTGCTGCAAGGGAGGCAGGTAGCTTCCTGTAGATGGGCCTCAATCTTCAGAAGCCTCCAGTTCCCACTGAAGGAAAAGGAAAACCTGGGTGGCAGGATGAGGTTTGTAAGGATGGCTCTCTGGGGAGGAGGGCGCTGGCTCCGAGGCCCTTGGCGCCTCTGCTGGGCGGCTCCGGGCGGGCGGGAAGCCAGGCTCTGGAGGTCGGTGGCCCTGGGCTCCGGCTCTCAGGACGCTGGGAAACACAGGCAAGGCCCCCCAAGCCCAAGCTGAGAATCCTGCTCCGCTCTCTGCGGCAGGAGCGAGTTTTCTCCCACCCCGGGGAGTTGCAGGGCTGGGTCGCTCCGGAGACCCTGGGTCAGAGCCCAATGGGCTTGCTGAAAAGCTAGGCTTTTCCGTAATCACAGACCTTGGGCATCCAAAACGAAACGAAACACAACTTTCCCCAGCCATGAGACTCCCGTAAAGTTATCTAGCAAATTCACGTCTCTGGCTTTACAGGAAGCAGAAAGGGTTTGGGGGCCTCTGGGAGTTGTGGGGGGGCGCGGTCTTACCCTTCCCTTCCCTCTAACTCAGCGGCTCTTCGGGCTGTGCGAGCTCAGGCCTGTCCTCTCTGTCTCTGTGTCAGGAGGATGTTCCCTACTATCCGCGTGTCGTTTTCCGGCGTGGATCCCGAGGCCAAGTACATAGTCCTGATGGACATCGTGCCCGTGGACAACAAGAGGTACCGCTACGCCTACCACCGCTCCTCCTGGCTGGTGGCTGGCAAGGCGGACCCACCACTGCCGGCCAGGTTTGTGCCTCCAGACGTTTTCCTGTGAACCCTGCTAGCAGAGTGCCTCCTGCCCTGGCGGTTTGAATGTTAAGCAGGTCTTATTTTAAAGCTCTGAGCTCTGGTAGGATCCCCAGCACAGACACTCTGGGATTGTCTATACAAAATACCAGCCAGTCTCTGAGAAAGGCAGCGTTTGTGCCTTTTCCACTTAATTCATGTCAGAGTTTCCTCAAGTGGCAGTTGGAGTATTCCTTAGAAATCTGGGCCCCCTTCATATGCCACTCATCATTTCTAGTAGGAAGTGGCTGCCCTAAAAAAAAAATAAATAAAAATAATAATCCTGTTTTTAACCCCTAGAGTGCCGGGGAGTGCAATGTCTTTCGCCAAAAGTGCCGGGAGCGCTATCAAAGCTTCGAAATGGCGTCCAGTTCTAAGTCTGCCTTTATTAGTGATGATGATATTGCTAAATACGTCAATCTAGTAAAGGTTTCCTTAAGTTTTTGAATATGTAACTTCATTTACTTGCGATTCATAATTTTTTCCCTAAACTGCTGTAAAATCAGCAAAAATGCCTTGGCAATTTTAGCACAGTTCCTAGGATATTGGCTGGCACTCAGAGGGTTAAAAAGTGCATTTTGGAAAAGTGGTTACTTACAGTAAATATTTGTTCACAATACAGTTATATCTGCACATAAGAAAGATCATTCTGGTCAAATGTGGTTGTTTTTGTCCAGAAAGGGTTCAGAGATTTTAAGTTGAAAATTTAAGTGGATGAATGTGATTCAACATCAGGTTAGCTTTTTTTTTTTTTTTTTTACATGAAACATTACTCAATTGGGATATTAGGGATCATACATGTTTACTTTTGTGCTTTCATTGGTAATAATGTTTGCCCAGTAGAACCCTGTTTAAAATATCACACAGATAAACTGTTATTGTTGCTGCTTTGCCCAATTGAGCTTTGGGGGGTTGGGCAGGGGGGTTGGACCTCCTGTTCACATACTTGCTTCTGTGAACAATTAACAGCTATAGCGATAGGCTGCGTAGTGATAGTCTTAATACAAAGGATACCAGCTGACTTACACTCATGGTTCTAAAACCAAGGCTCACCGCTTTCAAGTTGTTTTAGGGCTAATGTGTAGAATTGACTGAAAGTTCCTATCAGAGCTGAAACTTTATTTCAATGGGAAGATTGGGAACGTTGAAGGTCCAGCTGCTTCTTTGTAAGTGTGTAGTCTGGAGTCTTAGTCAAGGCACAGAACCTACACAGACCACTTCCACACACGGTTCACACGGAACATTAGGTTACTTGGCAGCTGATGCCATTACTGAGCCCACCGTGTGCTGGGCTCCCGGGAGGAGAGACCAGAGGAGCCTCCCAGAGCTTCCCATGCCCACGGAGACCAGGGAGGACAGCCCCAACCCTTCCAGGTCAGCACGTTAAAAACAGATTACCTGACTAAAGACATTTTAAAAATGCTTACTCATTTTTTAAACAGTTTACAATAGATATTAAAATGAACATAATTAGTATTCTCCACTATTTACTACTAAATAGCGGATTCACATTACTTTGAAGGTTTTAAAGGAGAGAGAGATTTTAGCAGATTCCTAACCATTTTTACAAGCAAATGGTTTTTTTTTCCCCTTCAAAGTCTTTCCTCTGAGAAGTGAATCACTCTGACTTAGCATACGTTTTCTTCCTATCTGAAGGTAAGGGGAGCTGTGCAGGCCAGCAGGACTTTGAGGACTAGGACATGCCTTGTTTATGTTACTAATCTGCTCTGGTTGAAGGAGGAAAGCATGTACCAATGCCCTATCTTAACTGAAGCATGTGTAAGCTATTGCTGGAATTTTAAGTCCCAGGGACCTCGAGAGAAGAGGGGCTTCCTGTATGTTTTTTTCATTCATCTCAGTTCAGCTTATTTATGTTGAGATCAGATAAAACTATTTAATGCAGAAATATTCAGTAGGCTAGAAGTAGGATGGGATAGAAACATTCGAGGTAATTTAAGCAACTATTCTTTATTATTTAAAAAAAGAAATAGTGCTGTATTTTCTAGCTCCGTAAAGGAAAAGGAGGGGAACTTGGGAGGGCGATCATTTTTGTACCGACGCTGGAAATTCCTTGTGGTTTTGTTCTTGGACCCATTTTATTGGAGACTGAACTTCATCAGTCAGTTGTTCCTAATCAGAGGAAATACTGCTTGACAATATCATTTGACCATAACAACGGGCAAGACTTTATCCGAGATCTAAAATAGTGCTCTATTTTCGCATAGAACGTTTCCTTTTCTGTAATTGATGTTTAGGTGTGCTGAGCTTTATTGATATGACTACATTTGGTGAATTGATATTGAAGAGAGAACATTCCAGCAGCTTCTGGGACTTGACATGTTCTGGAGCCGTCTTTTTGGCAGGGAGGCTGGGACGGGGGGCTGGTCAGTAAAACAGCTGCACTATAAAGCTATAGCCTTGGAGGGTGACACTTGACGGTTGTGTCGTCAAAGAATTCTTCAACTGAAAGGCAGTTTTGAGCACTCCTCCTAAAAAGAGCAGACACCTAAATGAAGCCTTCCCGGCTCTTGCCCGGGTCCAGGAAGAATCCTTACCGCTTCCGGGGGCTCCCCCTCTCCCCACGCATGTGCACCCAATGCTTTTATTCTCCATCCCCTTCTGTGACAGACCAGGACACTGACTTCTTGTTCTTCACGTGAACACCATAAGGAAAAGTTTTGTGACCTTTTCCCTGGCCTTCGCCCCAAACTGTAATGTTTATGTTTAGCTGTAGTTACACTATCCTATAGACAATGATATACAAGTAACCTGTTACCGCCAGGAAGGAGTCTGTCCTGTTGAATCGAGCACATCTCCTTCCCCCTCTCGTTGGTTCTGTAATCTCCCCGACTTCAGAAAAGCTTATGTCAAGTGGATACCATGGTTGGGATTTACAAAGAGCTGTGCTCAGTGGGACCTTTAGAGGTAGAACAAATGCTCTGCATTTAACTGTGAAAGATTGCACGTAGCAGCTGATCAATAGATGATAAATGCCTGATAAATACTTTTTTTTTTTTTTGCTTAGGCTGTTTAAAAATGAATACACTGAATAATTTGAAGCGTTCCCAGCTTGTTTTCATTCTCATCACTTCACAATGTTATGTTGTGTGGACTGTTAAAAGTTCCCAGGTCCCTGTATTAAAGTTACTCTGCCTTGAATTTATAAAGAATATAAACTTTAAATTCAGTCACCTTCAATTTTAAATGATTGCAGTCTCTAGAATTCTTTTTTAAATTCTTTGTTTTCATTGATTTTTAGCAATGCTCATCCTGGGAACTTATTATGCAATTAGTATAGCCTACTCTTTCTTTTGAAAATACCTATACCATTAGATCTCATATTTTACAGAAGTAGCCCAGTAACAGATAGATAGGAAAAACCCCACCTTTAAAAATGGCTTGCTCAACAGATGATAGAAAATTTATTAAGTGTTACCCCTTTTAGAGCATTGTATATGAAGAAACACATTTAGAGGTTTTAGAGTTATTTTGGTATTGCTATATTATTAAATCTGACATTATACGGGGTAAATAAAATTCACCATTTATACAGGGGTTTTGTGTTCCTTTGGAATCAGAATATTTTATAACCCACAGAGAGCAGGTTTTTAAAAAAATGCCTCAATGGAATCTCTCATAATTTTCTCAGGCTGTATGTCCACCCAGACTCCCCTTTTACTGGTGAGCAGCTACTCAAACAGATGGTGTCCTTTGAAAAGGTGAAGCTCACCAACAATGAACTGGATCAACATGGCCATGTAAGTACGACACCTGGGACTGTGTGTTTTCCCCAGGACGGGAAGGGAAGGGGATGGAGAAGTCACACAAAACTTCCTCCCTCTAATCTCTGCCTCGCCCTTTGCCCCTCCCACCCTCTCCCTGTGAATCCTCCCAGCGGTTCTCAACCTGTGGGTCTCGACCATCGGAAAACACATATAGCATATCCGATATTTACATGACGATTCATAACAGTAGCAAAATTACAGTTATGAAGTAGCAACGAAAATAATTTTATGGTTGGGTCACAACATGAGGAACTGTATTAAAGGGTCGCGGCATTAGGAAGGTTGAGAACCACCGCTCTAAGAGAACCTCCAAGTATTCATCTTGTTGGGAGGCCATTGTTATGCAAGGGGGCGGGGCCTTCAGCACCATGGATTTCCCAAGACTTTAGCAACTGCTTTCTGCCTTTGCCCATTAAACAAAGAGAACATGCATGTCGCAGGCTACTACAGCCCCCTCTTGGGTTATACATCTGAGTTCTGTCAGTGGTATGTCAGATAATGCAGCATAAAAGGAATGGGGTTGAGACCCCCCCCACTTGGGGGTTGCCCAAAGGGTGTTCCATTGAGCGCACTCACGTGAGATACAGTAGAACCACAGGGTTTATGTCCAGATAAGTTTGAAACCTGTTCACCTGCTTCCAACCTCTGACAGCACCACCAGCAGAGTTATGAATTAACCCCGTTACTCTGACTGGGTCTCGATAAACAAGGCCCCCTGGGGCAAATGGATGTTGGCAACGCCAGAAGCAATTTATTTGGTTTCAGGTCCAAGCCAACCATTTGAAATGATGTCTAAAGAAGTTTGGGAAAGTGGTTTTTACTCATTCTATATCCCTATGTAGAGAGTCTTATGAATATTAAAGCACAGAGAAGTCTTGCAATTAAAAACAAAACAGTTTGATGATTTGGGGCCAATAAAGGAATTCATCAAAATGTGGAAAAGGAGCTACTGGAATGCTGAGCTTTTAGCAATAGTTGATAGAACAAACACCACTGACACAGGCCTTCGCACGTCTGATAAGATTTCTTTTTAAGGAACCATCTGTGATGTTACTCTGTGGTCTTAAATAACGAGCACTTCCTATCTGCTGTGTGATTTACAAGGGTTACATCCTCTAATCCCCACCACACCCTATGGGGTTAATACTGGTTTTGTATTTGCGATGAGGTTGAAGAGGAGAGATCACTGGCTCCAAGATTAAAGAGCTAGAAAGTGGCAGATTCACTATTCTAACCCAGTTCTGTCTAATATCACACCCCCGTTAATAACAATCTGTCCTCCTAGCATATATAACTTCTTACTTTGGAAAATGTAGACATATCTCCTTTGATATAACCAGACTAACACAAAAAAATATTTTAAAGACTTGATTTAAAAACAAATGTATTCTCTACATGACTTTCCCCCGTCATTTTAGAAAAGATACTTGAAACGACCTATATTCTCTGCGGTTGGTTTGATAAAATGTGGTTTACAAGGATGACTCTGCAGTATCCTGTGAAAATGATTTGCTTTAGGAATGGAACAGGGTAGATCCTACTCTTAACACTGAATTTGAAACTGTAGACTTGATGGTTCTTTGCCTCATTGCAGTTCGGGCTGTTTAGCAATACGAACACCTAACATCCAGCGTTCCCCATGTCTTTGTTGTAGATCATTTTGAACTCGATGCATAAGTACCAGCCTCGGGTGCACATCATTAAGAAGAAAGACCACACGGCCTCGCTGCTCAATCTGAAGTCTGAAGAATTCAGGACGTTCATCTTCCCAGAGACAGTTTTTACGGCAGTCACTGCCTACCAGAATCAACTGGTGAGTGCTCCGTTCACAGTGCATCTCCGGAATAAGATAAGGACTTAGAAGGTTCTTTCATTTTCGTGGGGAGAACAAGGATTCCAGTACTTGAAACAGAAGTTCTCTTTGGAGAGCACTATTGAGTATCAGCCAGGGCCTCTCGGTGTGTTGAGTGAGCCATGCTCAAGGTTATGAAGGTCCGTATTGCACCATCTTTTCTAGAATCTTTGTACTCCTGGTTAGGTTGTTCACTGCCCACTCTCCGACCCAAACCTGCTCCTATCTGGCTTCTCAAATTTTCTTCTCAAGAAATTACCTGCTTCCTTTTCCTCTTCCTGATAGAGCCTCCTAAGGTACATAACCATACACTCATTGATTGCCCCGTAAAATATAGACGTTCCATTTTTTTTGTGCTAAATTAGCAAACACATTCTAGCCAACTGCCCACACTACTGATACTTTAGACACTTTCTGAGGTTTATTCAGCTGTAATTTACGGTGTGATTATTCTAGTAGAATGATTTTAAATGTCTCTTTAGACAATAAACTGTAGCAGGCAAGCAGTGTGTATTTAATTAACATCAAGATATTTAATTTATAATATTGAGTTATCTATTGTCTACTCTCTGTTGTACCTCACATTTAAAATGTATGCATTTTTTTCATCCATATGGGTTAGTTCAATTCAGTAAACATTTATCAAAGTCTTAGTAGGAACTGGGTGCTGTTGGATGCTGCCCCATATATTTTCTTCTCTCGAGGTGAGCATCATCTTGCAGACTGGGGGTAATGGTGACATTCTGTAGTGAGGAAGCCAAGGCTGAGAGAAGATGAGAAAGTCTCCCGCAGCCGGAGGGACCAGCTGGGATTCCATGTGCTTCAGGAGGAGGAACCCACCTTGTCAGGTTACTTGACAAATTCGGTGGTGTGCACCTTGCTAGGTCTTTGCATCTTGCTTTCATTTGAATAGTTATGGGTCACCAGGTCTATGGCTCTGCTCCTATCTTCATGTTATATTTTGGGTTCCGAGTGAATGACTGTTAGAGTGGGATGGTCCATCAGAGAAGACAGGGTCTTGGGTCTCTCGGGAAAAGCGACAAGAAGAAGCTGAGCCCCAGCTGGTTTGGCTCAGTGGAAAGAACTTTGGCTTGCGGACTGAAGGGTCCAGTTCCAGTCCAGGGCATGTGCCCGGGGTTGCCAGCTTGATGCCCAGTAGGGGGTGTGCAAGAGGCAGCTGATCAATGATTCTCTCTCATCACTGATGTTTCTATCTCTCTCTCCCTCTCCCTTCCTCTCTGAAATCAATCAATCAATAATAATAATAATAATAATAATAATAATAAAAGACCAAGCTGAAAGCCCAGATAGCCCTACTTAAATAAGGAATTGAGAGCCCAGAGCAAGGATGTGGGCCGATGGCTGAGAGGAGGTGTGACTGTAAGGTGTGAGCACCTGTAATTCCAGTACAACTTTGGGGAGGTTTCATGTCACCACTATGGCTGCCATTTTTCTTACCTGTGACTGGGACTGAGAACTGCCCAGACCATCTTAGGGAAGTCCTGTGAGCATCCAATGACAGACTGTGCATAGTCATGCCTGGAAACCGTAAGGCACTCTGTAAGTGAGGTGTGTGGTTACTAAGGACTGTCTCTGGAATGTCCAAAGAGGGTCTGTCACCATTGGCATTTTAAAATGTTAGTGGCATATTTTTTAATGAGATACATGAATGCACAAATGTTATCATACTAATCATCTTAAAGTGTGAAAGCAAAACTAAAGGAAGTTTCACAGGATAGCATCTTAGATTTGGTTCATAAGTGAAGGCGCTGAGTAAATGTTAGCAGGACCTCTCAAACCAAGGTTCATGGGACTAGGAGGTTATTGTTTACATCGTTATAACAGCTAATATTTGGGTACTTACTGTGTGCAAGGCACCATTTAAAGTGCATTGTTTTATTTAATCCCCACAGTGATTTTATGTGATGGGAACAACAGTATTTTTGTGTCACCTTCTAGGGATAGCTCCCCCAGGTGACCTTCCCGCACTCCTCTCTATTTGAATCCAGGTGTTGAGTGCAACAGTCAGTGTCCTTATCTCTAAGCTTTAGGTACCTGGTGTCCTCTTGGCTTGTGACTCCGACGGACCCCAAGACATCCTTTTTAGAGGGTTTCACCTCTTTATGATCATTTTTTTTTCGTTTTCAACAAGGGCTCACTGCTTACCTGCCAGTGTAATGAGATGATAGTGATCTGAAACCGGCGGTCAGCATGGCCACTAGCACTGGCTGCATCTGGTAGAAGCCATGTTTGTTAGAAAATGTCAAATATGTGAAAGTCAAACAAATGGTAAAGTGAACCTCACGTATTCCACCCAGATTCAAAAATTAACATTTTGTCCCTTTGCCGCCTCCTCCCCATTTCTGTCTCTGTATGTATCCATACTTCCTGTTCATTTAATCATTTGATACTAAGTTGCATGCATCATGATAGTTTACCTGTAAATACTCCCACAAATACCTACTGATATGAGAATATTATTTTAAAAAAAACAAAAACGTTTAAAAAAAAAAAAAAAAAAAGAATTATTCCTTAATATCATCTAGAATTCAGTTAATATTACAGTTTTCGGGATGGATCAACAAATGTCTTTTATAACCCCCTTCCCCGCTCTGAACAAGATAGAATCCAACTAAAGTTCATGGTTTGGATTTATTACTTTTAATTTAGAGAAACCTCTCTGCATTTTCCCTCAGTATCTCATTTAATTCTGACACCCCTGAGGAAGGCCCCCCTGAGCCCCACTCTGTAGATGGAAAGACAGGTTCAGGGTAGTTAATACACCTGCCCAAGGTCACAAATCTGGATCTTCCTTCCTCCTTTTCGGTGGCATCATGCCAGATTGCAGGCCAAGGACATTACCACTGACAGTGTCAAGGTTTGGAAACTGAGTTTGAAAATGTTGCCCAATGAAAATAGTCGGTTTATTTCTATGCATCTCCCTTTACCTGATTCCTAGCACAGTGCCAAATATATACTTGAAATTCAAGTAATGGTCAAAGATTTGATTTTCAAGCCAGTTTGAACGGTTTATAAACCTCATAAAACCAATCAAAATCCATGTTTAATAAACATATATGGGGTGAATAAATCATTTTGAGGATTAGTATTTTCTTTAGTCCTATACAATTTTCTAAAGTTATCCTTGATGCTTTCTAGGCCTCCCACCTCTGCTTTTTCATTATTATGTCATGTTTGTGTACTGGCTTTCCTGAAATAAATATAGGGTGTCCCCAAAATGTATACACACACTTTGAATAATTATACAGACAGAGTTTATTAACATACATTTCATTTTCAAAATTGAGCTACCGGCTGTTAAAGAGTGTATATATTTTGGGGACACCCTGTATATAGGAGATACAATAAATATTTACTGAAGATAGTAGAAATATTACAAGTTTTCTATGCACAAAAAGACAAGGGAGAAGAAGAAAATTTAAAAGTTCGCATACAGGATCACCTTCATATGTCTCAACCTTTAGATAGAGCTGGTATTTTCACATCTATTAAAAGCCAACTCAGAGTTTTCCAATTTGCGAAAAAGCATCTCATTTATTATGGCTGGTGGTTTTATTTATGAGTAATGGAAAATGGGACTTTTACAAATTATTTTTTTTGCCTCTGGTTTTGGCGAGGAAATGATCACATTTGTCTACATTATTAGATAAAAGCTAAACACATTATACTTTCAACAAACTATTGTATAATTTAAGATTTAAAGGTCATACATTGTTTTGAGAGCGGCAGACCACTGCCGTCGGGTTGAAGTGTAGGTCAGGTTTCATTTTTAAATGCCTTGGGACAGATCTTTCCCTGATAATTGGAGAAATGGTCTCTGAGGGCCAATTTCACCTCGCGCCTGGGAACCAGAGGAGACCAGTGATGTCACGTGGACGGTCAGCCACGGGAAGGTCCCCTCTCTTGGGCACAGCTGGCAGTCAAACTCTGCCCCCCCACCCCGCGTCATGCTTACGTTTGTCCACAGATAAGGGGGTGCTGAAAGAGTGAGTGTTTTGTTAGAACATGCATTGTGTTCTGTTATTAAGATCATACGTGGAAAAGGGCATATGTTTTGACCTGAATTAGTTGGTGATTTGCATATAGGTGCATGTACACTTAACTACAGGATTTCTTCAGCACAGTGTGCTGTCCTTACTTGTTAATGCCTTTTCCTCACACCCAATATAAGATATTGCTGCTCTTTAAATTTGTTTTTGAATTATAAGCCATACCTGTGGTTTGGCTAATCAAAACTCTACATACTATGTTCACTGGCTGACTAGTTTGGGGTCCTTACCTTTGACACAGGTGACACTGTTCAACGGTGTTGCAGGCTGCCGGTGTTCTATATTAGGGGCAAACCAAATGATGTCCAACTGAGTCACTGTCTGTAACTCAGGTCCCTTCTCTCATCAGCTCTCAAATGTGTGACTTCTCCAGTTGTTCCAAACTTCATAAAGGGATGTAAAACCATATCTTCAGAGATGAATTTCTATATAATGACTGGCTTTTATTTAAATGTCCATGGAATAAAACCTGTGCCTGATTTTTAAAAATGCATGATTACCTAGAACAGGGGTCCTCAAACTACGGCCCGCGGGCCACATGCAAAAACAAATATTGTATTTGTTCCCATTTTGTTTTTTTTTTACTTCAAAATAAGATATGTGCAGTGTGCATAGGAATTTGTTCATAGTTTTTTTTTAAACTATAGTCTGGCCCTCCAATGGTCTGAGGGACAGTGAACTGGCCCCCTGTTTAAAAAGTTTGAGGACCCCTGACCTAGAGCATTAAAATTCTATCTAAAAATTATTTTACCTTAAGATAGAAAATCCAGTAAAATAAAATGCTTTCACCGCCCGCCCGTAAACGAAAGAAGAGTTTATTTAGTCCAGCGTTTCTCAACCGGTGGGTCGAGACCCCTTTAGGCGGTCGAACGACCCTTTCACAGGGGTCGCCTAAGACTATCCTGCATATCAGATATTTACATTATGATTCCTAACAGTAGCAACATTACAGTTATGAAGTAGCAACGAAAATAATTTTATGGTTGGGTCACAACATGAGGAACTGTATTTAAAGGGCCAGAAGGTTGAGAACCACTGATTTAGTCTCTAACTGGTAAAAAGATGATGTATATTTCTGACTGCTTTCCCTGGAAGCGAAGTTCAGCAAATGCTTCTGGGTGATGATTGCTGACGGCCCAGGAGACTGAGAATCGGGTGATAGCGCAGTGAGCACCGTGGCTGGTGAAGAACTGGAACCCATGGTCCCTGCGCTGCTCACAATACTCATAAAACCTGTTCAAGATGGGAGTATGAATCCTGGGTCCCCCACAGTTTTAGTAATAAGAGCTCCATTCAGCTCCCCCCTAACTTCCAAAAGCAGCTGTTTTCCCTGGAACTAGATAACATGGGCCATAGAGGAAGTAAGTAGCTGGTTATGTCTCCAGCTCCTTTTCTAATTAGTGCATTCGAGTAAAATCATTGCTGTGACCAACTGGTAAGTCGAGGTGTATGAGAGCACCCTGCATTGTTCTCTAAGCTTTCCTGTTTGAAATTATATCAAAATGTAAGGAAAAAAAGTTACCACTGATACTCTTAGGGCTCATGAAGGAGGGATTTAAAGACTATTGGAAGTATAGCGTTCTCATCATGAGAGAAAATCTCGAAGAAATCTGAAAACTGGTTGAATCTAATTCTTGTTCTCATTCAAAATTGAGGTGGTAAGATGTGGTGACATGCCAATTGAACAACATTACGTGTTGGGACTATTTATTCTCCACGACAGTGCTACAAGCATCACCCTTACCTTTTGGAAATATAAAGACCAACAAATACAATTTTCAAAATGGTTTTCAGGGACAAAGTGGGTCAAAAGTCTTTCTTTAATTATTACAACAGAGAATACTTCCTGTCCTTTTAGTTAGTAAATATTCAAACATAGCTGAATGTTTCACATTTTAGAGGGATGGTGTGAAAGGACTTCTTTCCAAGTCCTTGGTTTTTCTTTTCTTTTATTATGTATTAGTTTCAGGTGTACAGATTATATACTTGACATAGTGTTCCCCTCGATATTTCCAGTACCCCAACTGGCAGCATACAGTTATCATAATATTATTGACTATATTCCTTATGCCGTACTTACTTCCCTGTGACTTTTTTGTAACTACCGATTTGTGTTTCTGAGTCCCTTCACCTCTTTCTCCCAGAGCTGTCCAACTCCCCTTCCCCTCCGGCCACCATCAGTCTGTTCTCTATCTATGAGTCTATTTCCATTCTCTTTGCTTATTTATTTTGTTCTTTAAATTCCACCTGGAAGTGAAATCATATGTTCTTTGTATTTAGTTTTTCCAGCAGATATATTATCTGCCAGTCTCCAGGAAACTTCATTCATTGGTAGATCCGTTTACTTTGTGACTTTATAAATGAGCTTGTTGTGAGTCATTGAGCTTAGAAGCAGACTTCACTTCATTGCTCTGTCGAACAGTTCCAGTTTGAAATTCCCACCTGGGGTCGGCTCACCCTGAAGGTCGCTCCCATGGCAGTGGATGCGATGCCACTCTCTTTACTGGCACCTGAGTCACCTCGGTTCTGCTAAGCCCGGTGTCCTCTGCCTGCTCCATGGCCCTTGAAGCTCTGCTAGGGCAGGACCATGTATTTATCTTTGCACCATCCAGCGTTTCGCATAGGACATGATAAGCAATCCATCTCTCTTAACTCTGTGCTGATGAATTACTGTGAAAGCAGTGTTTCATGAACAAGAAAGCGCTTTAGAAATATAAAGTACTTTAACATAATGATCCAATAGAGAGAGACACAGCTCCTGTCTTGGAATTTAACATCTTGGCGGTATTATATCATCTTAGGACATACCGATTGCTTGGGCTTTAGAAGATGTTTATAAGTTGATTTCAAACAAATAAAAATGTTCTCCTTCGTCCTGGAAACTGAGCTTCCAAAGGAAACCCTGCTCTGAAAGACCGGCTCGGACTGTCCCCTTTGGGGTCCGCGGCTGAGTGAGAGAGGTTCTCTCCAGACGCCTGTGGTCACACCTGGAGCCACCGCGGGCCTCCTGTGTGTTTCTCTGTCTGCATCCTCCACGTGGCTGCTGCTACCCACTGGGAGCAGGCTTCTCACTTAGCTAGCTTCTTTCCTTCCCTGTTTCCACTTCCCAGGAACTGAGCTGAAAAGGACATTAGCAAATTTGTGTGAGTGGCTGCTCTGGAGTGAATGGGCATGGGCTGAAATGAGCATTTCTCAGGCATGGCCAAGTGCCTGACAGGGAAGTACGTTCTCGAGTCAGGAGAGTGTGGGAATTTCTACTCTAAGGGGGAGAAAGAGCACCTTTGCAGCTTGTACACTGGTCAGCTCGCATTAAGAAAACTTGAGTGGGGGGAGAGATTAACCAGTGAACTTCTACGCATATGTGCATAGCCCATGGACAGACAGCGCTGAGGAGAAGGCCTGGGAGGGGGTGGGAGTAAGGTGGAGAGGGTCCATGGGGGGGAAATGGGGCATCTGTAATACTTCCAGCAATAAAGATGCATTTAAAAAAGAAAAATGTGGCAGTAAATAAGTACCTAAAAAAATTTGAAAAGGAAAGAGAAAAGCCTTTCTTTGTAATAATAAAAGCAATTCTTTAGGTGTTAGTGGCTTGAAGTGAACAATAGAGACACTGATCTGAGGAAAAGTTGCTTTTGGCAAAGGAGCATGTCATCTTACTTGGATGGTGGGAACTCCTCACACCCACAACTCTTCCCCAGTTGAGGAGTATTTTGTGTCTCTCTGAAGATTGCCCTGGGCTCTCGTCGTGACATGGATGAGCTGTGACTCCCTTAAAGGGCCCTTGGTTCTTTTTCACACACCGCAGAGCTGGGTCAGTGCTAGGTTCCTGCCAGCTCTGACACTGGACTTGTACACGCATCTTTTAATCAGGGTTTCCTTTCTTTAGTCACTTATTTTTTGCTTCAAACCTAATGTATTATTCTTTGGAGATGCAGTGCATATGGTTGAATACTTCAGACCATGATTCTTTTTTTTAAAATATATTTTATTGATTTTTTACAGAGAGGAAGGGAGAGAGATAGAGAGTTAGAAACATTGATCAGCTGCCTCCTGCACATCTCCCACCGGGGATGTGCCCACAACCTGAGTATATGCCCTTGACCGGAATCGAACCCGGGACCCTTCAGTCCGCAGGCCGACGCTCTATCCACTGAGCCAAACCGGTTTCGGCGAGACCATGATTCTTAGTAGCAAATAACTTCCCCCCCAATGTAAGCATAGAGTCTATCAATGACATTGCATAGGGGGACAACAAAAGACTGACTCATTTGAGTCTAATCATTTGAGTCTACTTTAGTAAGATGGAGGCGGGGTGCTGGGGTAACTTTATATTCTAAAAGCTTTATAGCATCTATTTATGTCATGTATCTCAAGGTAGAATTAAACATGAAGCTATTACTGGACATTTAATCTTTTGATTTATTATGATACAGACACACACACACACACACACACACACACACGCCCATGGTGTTAATAAATGATGTTGCCAAGTCAGCATGAGGCAGTGCTCTTATTTTTGCCCCCCATTCCCCACCGGTGCTGGCCCTCTGGACAGCTGCCCCCTCCCCAGTGGAGCCCTAGCCGATGACGACTGTCTGAATACTTCACATTGTTCACAAGAGGCCCGTCCCCAAGGGTCTCCATCCACTGACCCGCAGCCTGTTCTCAGATACCGCCTTCTCTCCGAGGCTTTCCCCGACCATCCCCTCGCCTCCCTCCCTCCCTCCTGTGAACTCTCTCTAGCCATTTGGACCTTTCTCCCGATCCTGACAGACACTGGATATTCTTACGGAGCCAGGATGGAAAAGGAACGAACACTTTCTGCTTTTATTTTCTGGACCTCAGAAATGACCTCGTTGTGTCACCCCTTCTTCCCCTTCCAGATAACCAAGCTGAAAATAGACAGCAACCCCTTCGCCAAAGGATTTCGGGACTCCTCCAGGCTCACTGACATCGAGAGGTAATGAGAATTTTCTGTTTACTTTCTTTGTCCAGATAAGATAAAGGGAAGAGCGAGTCTGTCCCGCACACGCCTTTCAACGCCAGAGCGCCATGACCTCCCTGGACACGCTCTCCCAGTCTCTGTCCCCTCCCCTCCAGCCATGAGCCTGTAGACACGGGAGTGTTTCAGCTGTGACAGCTGCGCAGCCGCATCTGCTCTGTGCTCAGCTTCTCTGTGAAGTGGTTCCTATGGTCGGGACGTTATTCAGCTGTAAAAATAGGGCGTTGTTATCAAAGTCTCAGTCCTCTGGGTGCCGTTAAGCTCCACGTCTCGAGGGGCATCTGCAGAGAAATGGAATCTCGATACCTCTGAACTGGGTGTATATTTGCTAACAGCACGAATACAAGGGTAGCTTGGGATTTTGAAAAAAGGGAGATGCCATTTAATTCAAGGCACACCTTTTACCCAGAGCTTAGACTGCTGCTGTTTCATAGGAGAGCTGTCAGCTCTCAGGACCTTTAAGATGACAGGTGACAATCATGTGCCTGGAACTCACCCCGCTTGTAACTTAATTCAAATCGTTTACACAGTGAGACCATCTATGTGATCAGTAATGCCTACACTGAGATCCATGGTTTGCTCAACAGGAATGTCAAAAAAAGGGTTTTCAGAGAGAAGATTTTTTAACCTGATTGTTTATATCTCTTACACATACTATGTAACTTTCTGTACTTACTCTGTGTGTGTGTGTATGTGTGTGTGTGAACACTTACGTTCTACTCTATGAACAAATTTTAGTTATGTCACAGTGTCATCAGCTCTAATCACCATGTTATACACGAGATGTCAGACCCTCCTCATCTCCTGTGCCTGTTCTTTTATGTGGCCTGAAGTCTGTATTGACAGGTGGGGTACCCTCTGTTTTATTTTATCTCCAAATCTTGGGGTGATTTTCCTACCAACTGCTACACTTTGCCACACTCTTCATTATCTACCAGGTGGTCACATCTTCTGACCTTGGCACTTCTTCCTAACCCAGTGGTTCTCAACCTTCTGGCCCTTTAAATACAGTTTCTCATGTTGTGACTCAACCATAAAATTATTTTCGTTGCTACTTCATAACTGTAATGTTGCTACTGTTATGAATCGTCATGTAAATATCTGATATGCAGGATGGTCTTAGGCGACCCCTGTGAAAGGGTCGTTCGACCGCCAAAGGGGTTGCAACCCATAGATTGAGAACCGCTGTCCTAACCTGTGTTAGCAACTCAAATTAAGGGATAATTACATGTTTAAGCAACACCTGTCTGATCTTTCCCTCAGCCTTCCAAATGGCAGATCATAGGGGGGTGGTTTTAATTTGGGGGAGCAGATATGGAGGCTTAGTCGGGGGGCAGAGAAGCCAGTAGGAGAGGCTGAAAGTGGGCAGCAACCGTGGGATTTGAGTAGGAAAAAAAGATCCATTAGTTGGAGAGTTTGAAGAGTGGTTGAGGGAGTTGAGATCAGAGAAAGAAGCTGGAAGATCCATTTCGAAAGCAGAAAAGGCAGTGGGTGACCCTCCGGTTAGTTGGGACATAGGCTGGACTTAGGCCTTGAGACCCACCTCAGTGAGAATGTGGTAGCAGCAGTATGGGTAACCAGTGAGTCCGTGTACAAGGGCTACTCAGGAGGCGGCGTGACCTTTGAATCTATTTCTGGAGGGCCAGAGGCGCCGGTTCAGATTGGGATTCTGCAGGTGGCATTGTAATCAGTGAACCTTCCTCAGGGTTAGTCTGGGGTCAAGCAAGAATGAAGACGGTGGCTCAGTGGGGGAGGTAGTGATGTGTTTTCACAGCGTAGGCCGTACCGTCTGTCTCAGATCAAGGGCGAACATGGTGAATTGGGAGACAGAGTCATGGGTTAGAGTCCCAGCTCTGCCTCTGACTGCCTGAGGGGTCCTGGAGAAGTCACCTGACCTCTGAGCCCGTTGTCTTCATCTAGAAAACAGAGAAAAGCACCCTGCGGCTCCACAGGTTTCTTATGAGAAATAAGGAAAGTGACGTTTATGAAGGCAGCTTAGAAATGCGGGTTTCTTATCTAACTAGATGAGCATTGTTTTTGCCCATCCAAGTCTCCTTCTAATGGTCTTAATAAACTGCTCGTGGAGTAAGCATAGCCCCTTGGCCGCACACGTGTTAATGAGATGGGAGTGTCCAGACCGCCCGCCCTTTAGAACGACAGACTGGCTGATGCCTGCGACACGTTTTCCGCTTCCTGAAGCAGCATCCTGACTTCAGGGCGCTCACACGCACACAGCGCTCAGTAGCTCTCGGTGGTCTGAAGGCTGTGAGAGCAGCTGGAGTGACTTAGCTGGAAATGTGCAAGATAACCCAAGTTGTGTGAAATTGGCCAAGGTTTTGGATTTCATTTCCAAGTATTTTAAGTCTGAATTTTCCCTAAACAGCCTTTGGGGATGGGACAAATCAGATCAATTGATCTTTAGAGACCTAAAGGAATTAAATTAGTCTGGAGTCAGTTACTGCACTAAACCACCTAGTAATTGAATTGCTCCTTGTAACTGATTGAAAACAGCCCCATCTGTAACAGCTCAGGGAACTTTTCTCTAGAAGGGATCTGAGAGAAAAATACACTTTTTTATGACACGATGACAGAATTGGCACTTTTCTAACCTAATTGAATATGATGTTGGGAGTATGTGACCTCAATGATTTCCAGTTTCCTGTCCCAGATTTACAACTGCTGTGGGACACCCAAACAAACACGCCTGTGAGGGTGTTTCCCTTACACCTCCAGGCTCATTGTTTTGAGCTTCAGTCCCTCTACAACTGCATGAGCTTTTGGGATGCTCTAAAGCAGCGGTTGCCAACCTTTCGGACCTCACGGACCACCAGTTGGCGACCGCTGCTCTGAAAGGCATTGGGTTTTCTTCATCTTATTTGACGAGGTTCAGTTCGGATACTGAATGTCTCACATACTTCACGTGTCGCCTTACTCTCAGGGACAGCACCTCCCTCATCTGTAAACAGAAATCCGCCTTGTTCGCCAGAGTAGAAAGTATTTTCATTAGGTGCTTTGCACAAATACCTACAATGGACAGCTAAGAAGCAAACCAAACGCCCAAAGAGAATTCTTAAAATAATGTAATTTACAGTTATTTTACTTCAGGGAAAGAAGTATCTGATGATCCCATAAAATAAATAACCTATAGACGGTCTGTTGGCATCTTCTTTTTTCTTTTTGGCGGAGGGAAGGGGGAAAGGACACTTCTGTACTAAGAGTGTTTTGTTTTTGGCAGGGGGGGAGAGGACTTGCTTTTGAAAATAGAATTTTTCATTAGAAATCTGCCCAGTTTAGTCTGTAAAAAGCTATTGATTCCTATATGTCTTTGGCATCCTGCCATTTTACTCAACTTAAAAATAGTAGTTTTAATAATTTTTCCTTTTAGTCTGTTGAGTTTTCCAGTTAGATTGCTATATCATTTATAAAAATGATAATTTTATATTTTTCTTTCTAATAATTATACTTTTTAAAATGTCTTTTTCTTGTTTTATTGCACTGACTAAAATTTCTAGGACACTATTGAAAAGTAATGATAATAGCATTTTTTCTTGTTTTTGACTTATTTAGTCATGCCTCTAGTGTTTTCTAACATATGATTTTCATTGGTTTCAGATGGGTATCTTTATATTGAGGTAATGCCCTACTGTGCCTAAATTAAGAATTTTATGTTATCTTGAATGTTACTTGGAGTTATATTAAATGCTCTTTTAATATCTAATGAGACTATTTTAATTACTTTTATACTTTTAAATAGCAGTATAATTAATTATAGTTATATTGTCTATGTTGAGCCATTCTTGTATTCCTGGAATAAATCCTGTGTAGATTGTATCTCTTTTTCTTATAGTACATTTCTAGCTTTAATCTACTGATTTTGTTAAGACTTTTTATGTCACTCTTCATAACAGATTTGACTTTGTTTCTTCTTGCCTTCTCTGTTAGATTTTGGTATCTGGTTTCTGCTAATTTGTTCAGATGAGCTGAAATACATTTTCCTTCTTTTTGTTGTCTGGACCAGTTTAAATAGCAAAGATGTGATCCTTTACCTGAAGGTTTTACAATCTTGCTCATAAATTCATCTGGGTGCAGTATTTTGGCGAATGCTTCTTTACTTTCTTAGTTTATCCCACAGTTTATCAAATATATATTTAACTTCTATCCCACTTAATGCTTTTTGTCTTAATTCTACTTTGTCTAAATCTTATATTGCTATACTTACAAAATGTTTGCTTTCTTTTACTTGCTTTTTAATTTTTTAAAATTTTTTGTCACTACTTCCTTCTCTTTTGCATCATCAGATATCCTGATGTTTCGTTCATTAAGGAAAAACAACTTTCTCTTGATCGCATTTGATCCAGCTTTTGCTCCTTCTTACAGTAAAGCTCCTTAAAAAGAGTTGTGTGTGTTCTCTTCTCCAATCCCTCTCTTCCCTTTATCTCTTCTACCTTGCCATTTAGACTTCCATCCCCATAACTCCCCCAGTCCACCCTTGTCCAGGTCACCATGGCCTCCCCATTGCTAAATCCAGTGGTCAGTTCTCAGTCCTCATGCTACTTGACCTATCAGCTAAGTCTGACACAGTTGTCCATTTTCTCCCTCTTTTCTTTTGGCTCCCAAGACTGCCCTACTCTACTGGTTTTTATTCTATCTCATTGGCTGTCTTTCTCTCTCCCTCCTTGTTGGTTCTTCCTCTTGTCCTCCAAGAGGACAGTGATGTGTGCCAGGCCTCAGTCCTTGGACCACTTCCCTTCCCAGTCTGCTCCTCCTCTTGGTGATTTGACCCAGTTTCATGACTTTAAATACCATTATATGCTGACTACTATTAAGTTTGCATTTCTGGTTCTGGTCTCAGTAGAGTTAAAGATCTGACTGGCTGTCTCTTTTACTCTCCCCTCTCCCCATACAAGGACCTCAAATCTCACACATTCTAAAACAGATGCATCTCTCTTCTCCATACC